TGAGCACTCACGGGCATGCTTCTTTGAGGCAGCATTACTCTGGATTCCCTGCATGGTGCAAACTGGCAACGCACTCAGCTGCTAACCAAAAGGTTGGAGGTTTGAGTCCACCTAAAGTCTCCTCAGAAGAAAGGCCTGGCAGTCTACTTCAGGAATATCAGCCATTTAAAACCGTATGGACCACAGTTCTACTCTGAAACACATGGTCACTGTGTGAGTCAGAGTTAACTCGACAGTGACTGGTTTTGGCAGCTCTCTCCCTATGTGATGCTCCAGACAGGTGGTAGCAACAGAATACATTTGACTGTGATGAGTCTCAAGGTTCTAGCCCTTTAGTGCTGATCTTCGTGAGGAAAGAGCATGGCTGGGCTTTACAACTGGACAAACTTGTGTGACATCAGATGAGGACACAACCCGGCAGTTTAGTTGCTGAGCTGAAAAAGATTTATGTCCTGGAGTTGCTCTAAAGATACACAAGGCTAAAATGGAAATAAAGCAACAGTGCAGTGTGTTACTTGGATCAAAAACCAAACCAAACCCATTGCCGTTGAGTTGATTCCGACTCCTAGTGACCCTATGGGACAGAGTAGAACTGCCCCATAGGGTTTCCAAGGAGTGGCTGGTGGATTTGAACTGCTGACCTTCTGGTTAGCAGCCATAGCTCTCAATCACAGCTCCACCAGGGCTCCTTACTTGGACCAGTACATAGTAACTTTTCTCCCTGCCTGTCAGTGAGTTAATGTCGATCAGGGAGGAAAGACAGTATTACTCGACCTTTCTGAAAGTGAGTCTTTTGATGATTTCAGTCGTCTGGACTAATAGGCCACTCTGAGGTAGGAGGAGTAATGGTGCCAGCAATATTGTGCCCAAAAGGCACACAGCCTTGAGCTGTCAGCAGAGCAGGGCAAGAAAATAACCCTCTTATTAACCCTTAATGAATTAAATAAAGCTCATTGGGCATAGGTGGCAACACTGGACTCTAAGGTTTGAAGGAAGTGGCACAGTACCACCCAGAAGACACTACCCTATATTGCACCAAAAAACCCGTTGCCATTGAGTCGATTTTGACTCATAGTGACCATATAGGACAGAGTAGAACTGCCCCATAGAGTTTCCAAGCAAGCAGCAGCTGCTGGATTCAAACTGCCAACGTTTTGGTTAGCAGCTGAGCTCTTAACCACTGTCCCACCAGGGCTACTGTGTTGCACCAGGCACTGGGAATTCAAAATGGAGGCAGTCTGCTTGCATGGGGGTGTCTTGATACCAGATTCTGCGTGCAAAACAGGATGTATTACCTGGGTTTGCAGACTGTGGTGCTGAGGAATGCAAACCCAGAGTTCATGCTCGCAGTTGGAATAAGCCTCTCCATCTAAATGCCGCTGAAAAGACTGTGAAAATCCCCAGGTTGTGGTTCATGTTTTTTGAGCCGTAGTCGAGAAAAACAAATTCTCAGTGTTACAGAGAACTCAGATAATCCCTTGGATTTTACAGTGGAAAATGTTATATAATTAAGGGTTCAAATTAGAGCAAGAGATACATTTGGATTAGTGTTAATTGCTTTCCACCCTAACCCTTCGTTTATTGTTTTTAAAGGGAGGTAACACGCTGGGCTAGCTGGGTAGAAAATCTTTGAATTCTTTGGTGAGGGCTTTCTACATCCAGACTCACCTTGTGCCTGATAGTGTTTAATCTTGCAGCTTGGTTGTTGTTGTTTTTTTCCACGAATATATTGTTTTCTGTTGGGTTTAGGTCACAGGTTGTAATTATAGCCTCATTTGAAATGCTTGGTCCTTAACAGAAGTTTTGAATAAGATAACAGCCCCATGTTAAGCATAAACAGTGGGCATATTTCGTTGAACCCCAGGAGAGGTTTTGGTCGTATATTTATTTCTGCTTTATTTAAGGTGTATGCTTAGTGCATTGACAGTTTGCCAGTGAAATGCTTTTCTCAAAACACTGTGACATTCCTTCCCACGTTTCATCCCAGATGGCCACTGGCACCTTTAAATTGATTTAAAATGGCCATCACTTTCACTGGCGCTAGCCTATTAATTCAAATTCTGCACTGTTCCATTTGGTTTTTCCTTTACTGACTGTGCTTGCTGGTGGTGGGCCGTATGTTGCCCATTACATGGAGTATCAGAGGACTGGGTTCCAAATCTCGTTCGTTATTCCTTTGCGTTGGGCTAGTAGATAAGGTGCTCGGGACACTGGCATTAGGTTTGCTATTAGTTTGATGAGCTTCTTTTCTAAATTGTGTTTTTAGAGATTTCCAAGATAGAAATGAGTTTCTAGATAGTTAACGTCCACGCTTGTGGCAGCTCGTCTGGTGTCTCTGGTGGCGTGTAAAGAACATTGGGTTTGGGGTTTTGAAGTACTGAGTTCCCAGTGCTAGAGCTTATTAAGCTTCACCTTTAACCCTTCTGAGAAGGTTAACCCATCTGTAAATTTGGATATTAATATCTACACTGGAAGATTATTAGGAGACTTTAATAATATTACTCTAGAGAGCACAAGTACATGTAAAAGGAGGTCCATATTTGGGCAAATACCACCTAGCATTTGCCTGAGGAAATCTAACTCCAGGTGTCTTAGTCATCTAGTGCTGCTGTAACAGAAATGCCACAAGTGGATGGCTTTCACAAAGATAAAGTTTTTTCTCTCACAGTCTTGGAGGCTAGAAGTCTGAATTCAAGTCTTTGTCATCAACTCTTCCTTGGTCTGGGAGCTTCTCCGCGCAGGAAGCTCAGGTCCAAAGGACATGCTCTGCTCCCAGGACTACTTTCCTGACAGTATGAGGTCCCCTACTCTCAACTTGCTTCCCTTTTATCTCTTGTAAGATAAAAGGTGGTACAGGCCACACTCCAGGGAAACTCCCTTTACATTGGATCAGGGATGTGACCTGAGCAAGGGTGTTACATCCCACGTCCTAATCCTCTTTAACATAATCTAATCTTGCCTCATTAACCACAGGCAGAGATTAGGATTTACAACACATAGGAAAATTATATCAATCACAAAATGGAGAACAACCACACAATACTGGTAATCATAGCCCAACCAAGTTGACACACATTTTCGGGGGACACAATTCAATCCATGACACCAGGCAAATGAGCTTTCGTCTAGAATAACGCCTGAAAATAGTGATACAGAGGTAGCATTTGGGAGCATAGCTACTGCTATGAATTGAATTGTGTCCCCCCAAAATGTGTGTCAGCTTGGCTAGGGCACGATTCCCAGTATTGTGTGATTGTCCACCATTTTGTCATCCGATGTGATTTTCATATGTGTTGTAAATCCTACATCTATGATGTTAGTGAGGCAGGATGAGAGGCAGTTATGTTAATGAGGCAGGATTTAATCTACAAGATTAGGTTGTATCTTGAGTCAGTCTCTTTTGAAATATAAAAGAAGTGAGCAGAGAGACGGGGGACCTCATACCACCAAGAAAGAAGTGGCAGGATCAGGGTGTCCTTTGGATCTGGGGTCCCTGTGCTGAGAAGCTCCTAGACCAGGGGAAGACTGATGACAAGGACTTTCCCCCAGAATCGACAGAGAAAGCCTTTCCCTGGAGCTGGTGGCCTGAATTTGGACTTCTAGCCTCCAAGACTGTGAGAGAAAAAACTTTCTCTTAATGAAAGCCATCCACTTGTGGCATTTCTGTTATAGCAGCACTAGCTAACTAAGACAGCTACCTAGCACATCACTATGTATTTAGTTGGTGACTTCCTTCAGTAAGTGGCACATGGAGGTCAGGAATGTCAGCAGTGAGAAATCAGAATCCTTGGCCAAGACATGAGTTCAAATGCCAACACCTCCTCTTCGAGAGAGCCTGTCATTTTGTTGTAAACATTTAGCAGAGAGAAGAGAGCAGTCTTCTTGGTATACATGTAAAACTTGTCCAGTCTGTGATTCCCATTCTGTTTGGTAATCAGTTTTTCTTGTGTTAAGTCATATATCTTTTTTAAAAATTATGTAGCCTTTAAGATAATGCCGAGGAACCCATAAAGAGGAATAATTTTTTAATCAAAATGTATGAACTTGCCTTATAACATTTTTTATGATAGTCTTACTTGAATTATCTTTTTCTATTTGACTAAAATAGAATTCGATTTTTCTGTGGGGTGTTTAGCATTTTGGGTCACAATCATGCGAGTGGTGAATTAATAGATGTTCTCTGAGTGAACTGTCAAGACAGAGCCCCTCTAGGTTTGAAATGTAATTAAAACAGTCAGCGGACTCGCTCTGAAGTCCACGGAGTGCTCCAGGGGCCCCTCTAAAATGTTGTTCAAGGACTGAAAATATTTACCCCCGTGTCATCAACATAGTGCAGCAGCCAACCCTTGACAACCAGGAGGGAAACCAGGTCACCTCGGGCAGGTTGCTTTCATCTTCACTTCCTTGTAGCTTTGCAGTGCCATTCTCAGATTTCCAGCCAGTGGGGGATGTTGTTAGCACAAGGCTGTGTCTCTAGTTGGTGGCATCCGACAATCAATGGCCAGTGCAACCCCAGCACAACGTTATGTTTTTAGAGACTCCCACAACAGGACCGAGTCTCTAAGTAATATCCATGCTCGCTGCAACCTTCCTCCCCAGTTACCCTCCCAAACCTGCTTCCTTTCACCTGGCATCTTCCCTTTTGTTTATGGCAGGCTTTGGGTGGGGGTGATGGGAAGGAGGACTGGAAGGGACTCGCTAGGTTATGCCTTGATTATTGCTGGCTACCCCCTTCTTCCCCATGCCTGCTCTCCCCCCGCTGTTCACACAATGTGTATTGATTCTCCCTGACCTCTTCTTCATAGCTAACGTGGGAAATGGACGGTGTAGAAGAATTTTTGTCCCAGAGGTCTGTATACACAAAGCAATTGTTTTTTAGGGGGGCAGGGGATAGATGAAAAATACTAGCTTCAGGCAAATAACCAGTTATTTTAAAAATGGTTACTTAAAATCAAATAAGCCAGCAGTTCTAACATATGGTCCTTTCTCTTTCTTTTCAGATTTCAGATGTTCCTTTTATGCAAGTTGTTTCCGAGATTGTAACTCTCTGCTGAGATTTGAGTGGGATTTGCGAATTTTGAGAAGTCCTGCAGCGTCAGAGGTGTAATCAGCTGCAAAATCACCCTTTTTGAAGAGTTCTGTGTTTTGCCACTCGACTCTGTAACTGTGCCAAAGGTACGTCTGCAGTTTCTGCTTAAAACAGGACAAGGAAGGGCTGCTTTTGCCTCCAATGGTAGACTTGCACAGTAAGGTTTTAAGCTAGTAAAATGACGATATATGTAGCCCTAATTTGTTGAACCATGTTAAATTTAAGCTTTCAAAGGATCTGGTTAAAAAATTAGGTGATCACTTTTCCTGCTTTAGCGTGTGATGGTTTTGAGTATGTAGATTGGAAACAGAATGGTGGAGACCTGCAAACTATGAAATGCTGTTGTGCTTCATTTTCTTCATCTCTGCAGATAGTTCTTGAATAGGTACTGAGTTGGGGCCATTGGGCACTACATCAGGGTTAGGACTACAAAGATAAATAAGAACTGCCTTGAACATACTCAAAGTCTAGTAAAGGTTTGATCCCGACTTTGATGTTGAGAAGATAGATCTACATCATAGAGATGCAAACAGATAAAGGATTCTTAGAAAAGTTTTAACCTTATGTATGAGAACTCTGCTAGTGTGTTGTTTAATATATATATATTATTTGTAATTATAATACAGCATATGGATTCTGGGATCCAGTAGTTATATACCATATTTTTATGCAAATAATGCATGCCTTCTACGTTTGTTTGCCAGCTGCAAAACTATGAGGTATTTTTGTAAGTACACTATGCTATTTTTTTTTTTTTTAACAGCAACACCTAAAAAAAATTGGGATAGCAGCGTCTATGAAGATACCTTGCGGCGGGGGGAAGGCGTGGTTGGCAAACAAATGTAGAAGGCGTGCGTTATTTGCGTAGAGAGATGGTAATAACAGATAGTGGGCTAAAATATGTCTCTGCATAGCAACAATATTTCTTAGCCTTAACAAATCATTTGAGACCCTAGATTTAGAATGTAAGAGTTACCATTTAGTGGTCTGGTTCGTCTGGTGCTCTATCTCTGATGGACCATAAGAAGTGTTCCCTAAGAAGGTAAAATTTCACCTCTGTGAGGCTGTCTCAGACTGTAAGGATAGCCACCCAATATGTTAGCTTGCCTTAAAAATCGTATTTTGCTGCTATTCTTCACAAATTGTTTTAAACTGTTCTTGAAGCTGTAATTTAGGACAATAAAATCTCTTGGTATAATGATTCCTATACATTTACTGTTGTTGTTAGGTTCCGTCGAACTCATAGCAACCCTATAAGACAGAGTAGAACTGCCCCATAGGGTTTCCAAGGAGCAGCTGGTGGATTCAAACTGCCGACCTTTTGGTTAGTAGCCACGCTGTTAACCACTGTGCCACCAGGGCTCCATACATTTACTATTTTACTATAAATTAGAATTTCCTTTTGTTTGCTTTAGAACTACTACCAAAAACATTGTGAATGTATTCTCTTTCCCTGATCACTTTTTCAAAAATCTTTTTGGAACTTTTTCAATCTCAATTACACCCCTTTTGTTGTGTGGTAACCAGGATGGCATAAATGTAATGCATAGTGTTTCATAAGGATAGGATTAAATGTCTCGGTGTTTTTGTCTTATTTTGCCTGTTTTTTTCCCAAAAGAAATCATCCTTTATGATTTCATTTCAGGAAAATGATACATTGTTCCATTTATCCTAGGGTATTGTTCATTATGATTTCCCAATCTAGTTTGAGGCTGAAATTGATATTCATATTGCTTAGTCTGATTCCATGTTCCCCCTCCTTTCTGCCTCCTCCAATGCTTTGAGTCAAGTTTACGCACGTGGAAACGTATCTCCCCACCCTAGAGCTTTTTTCGCTCTTACTGGCTTTAGATACTATCCTGCATACATTAGGGCATTTCGAAGTTTCTCTTCCAGAGATTTTCTAAAAATATGAAGACAAATACCGTTGGGATGTTTTGTTTTTAATCCTAGAAGATTTCCATTGCATCAGAAAGCTCTTGCCAAAGCTATGGTGGCTCATTTTTTTTTTTTTTTTTTTAATAGCCATTGGTCTGCAAGCTTTTAAGACTTAATCATTTATAAATGTGGTTACATATCAATCAGTTTATCAGATTTTAAGTGGGATACAAGCTGGAAATGAGTGCATATCCTCAAATGTGATCGTCAGAATGCATTAGTAATTCCTGAATAATCAAAATCTGATTCGAAAAGTTCTTTAGAAAAGTTCTTTATCATCAGTGACGCTAACAGTAAGTTATTCTTGGCCCTCTTTCACGTCATCTTTTTTGACAGCCTGTCTTATGTAAGTACCCAGTCAGAGTGTGTTACGCAAAGAAGTGCTGACGCCTGAGTATAAATAGGTGGGGAACCAAACACAGATCATCCTGAGAATATACTTATAAAAAGATCTCTAAACACATAACTTTTAAAGAATTACTTTTATAATCTCATGAGATCCACACAAGACTCTGATTTCTGTATTGTTGTGGTTTGGAAAATTGTTCAGTGGGAAAATCATTAGATGTATCCATTCGTGTAATATTTATTGTGAGCACCAACTATATGCTAGGCTATTTCTCTTTCAGTGACTGTTTTAGCAGCTACAGAAATAAAACATCGTTCCAGACACACATGAGGGATGGGGCAGGACCCCAGCGACCCTGGGATTGTGGTAGCTGAGATAGTAGAGGTACTTCTAGAGTCTCGAGTGCATTGAGGCAAGGAAGAACTGACCCTCCAGAGAGGGGTCTGGAACAGCCAGAGGAGCTGGATTTAGAAAGGTTTTAAAGAATGAGGGGATGAGGTATGCAGAGGCATCATGGGTCCACCTGGTAGAGGGCAGGCTCGGTGAATTAGCTGGATAATGTGTTGTAAAGACTCCAGGTCATTTAAAAAACGATGGACTGGGACCAGGCACATGCTCCTAGGTCTTTTAAGTGCCAGCAGGAATAGGGCTAGATGGGTCAGCCTTATCGTTTGGCCTGTTTTGTATAAGAAATGAAAGCCATGGTAGTCTGATAGGATGCTGAGTAGGGTTGTCAGCTGCAGATGCCTTCCCCAGTTCTTGGGCTCCTAAGGTTTGTACCCTACACCTGGGGCTGGGCTGAGCGGAGTTGTCTGAGCTGCGTCTCCGAGGGGCCTGAATGCAGTATCTGCTTCCCAGGTGGTACCTTTCCCAGACCGGGTTTTCTTTTCCCCCTGGTGCCCTCTCTCCTTGAAGTTAAAGAGCAGAGTCTTCAGAGCCTCCTGCCTACTCCGGGGAGGCTGTGGGAACACGTGGTGGCACACCCTTTCCTCTCCCATCCCAGCCACCAGAATTGTGTGTGTTGTTTTCACAGATGCCCTGGTGGTGCAGTGGTTAAGCGCTCTGCCGCTATCCAAAAGGTCGGTGTTTCAAACCCACCAGCGGCTCCTCAGGAGAGAAGACCTGGCAATCTGCTCCTGTAAAGGTGACAGCCTAGGAAACCCGACTGGGCATTTCTACTCTGTCATACAGGCTTGCTAGGAGTCAGAATCAGCTGGACAGCACACAACAACAGCAGTCCACCCTTAGTTCCTGCCATAGATAATCAAGACTGGACTAATTCACCGTTGTTGCAGGCTGGCTAGTATTTACTGGGGATGGAAGATATGAAGGAATTTGTATGCTTTGTGAAAGATTTTTTTTCTTTGAGAAGCTGTTGAAGGCTTTTCAGGAGAGAAGTGTCCTAATGAGTAGAAGGATGTTGGTGTTATGGTGGAAGAAAGACTGTGGCTTAGATGATAAAACTCGTGGACTCGGTAACATAAGACTGTGATTTTGCAAACTGTATCCTGTACGAGTCATTTTCCATTCTAGAATCAGCAGTGACTTTGTTTCGTTGAGCGCTGAGCGAGGAAGAATGAGCAGTGTTTCTGTCACTCTTACGTTCTTAAACATGCTAAGCCATAGTGTTTCTTTCGGAAAGGAAGATTTATTTTTTGTAATTTTTTTTTTTATTGTACTTCAGGTGAAGGCTTACAGAACAAATAGTTTCTCGTGAAATAGTAGTACGCATATTGTTTTATGACATTGGTTAACAACCCCACAACATGTCAACCCTCTAACTTCTCAACC